GTCGGCTCCTATACGCCGACTCGACGGCAAATAACAACAACAACAACAACAACATACGCTTGTGAGCCATTTACCTAAGATAAATCAATCTCTCTCTCTCTCTCTCTAAATATATATATATATACCTTGCTGGGGTTTTTTTGTGTTTCTCTAGAGAACCCAATCTAACACAACTGGTCAAGATGGCAGGAGGTAACAAGAGAAAAGGCTCTGAGATGGGTGTTTTCAGATAACAACTAGAAGAGTAGGGGAAGAAGGCTATCCTTTGTTGTGTACCTACTGTGTGCCAGCTCTTTGGTGTGGCAGGGAGCATTGGAGCCATCATCTCCCCCAGTTCCCCATTCTGATGCTATGCTATACTCCAATGTCCTAGGCCATTGGGTTCCCCCATGTTCTTATACCTCCTGCTTCTGCACACATGGTTTATTTTCTGCTCCTGCTGCCCCCCACCAACCCATACTCACCCCCAGCACTTTGGCCAGCTTAACTCCTACCTTTCCCTGAGATCTCCCCTAAGACATCATCTTCTCTTCAAAAATTTCTCTGAGTGCCCAAGGCCTGCACTTTGAAAATGCCTTGTCTGGGGAGGGAACACTCCTAGATAAATAGAGACAAGTATTGATTTGGGTGCAGAGAAAGGCAATATACCAAAAGTGAGTGACTAACACAATAACACGAAGGAAAAGGAATACAGAGAGAGAGGTACACGAGAGGTACAGACAACAAAGATAAACCCGTTCACATATACAATACTGTGTTATCAGTGATAATAAATATTAATCTGTGGGCAAATAGATGGGTAGACAGGCTGAATGATCAGGTATGTCTAGGCATACCTGAGAAAGTTCAGTGTGGGAGTGGCAGTGGCAGAGAGAGTTAAACAATTTGGTTTTATTTTAGTTTAGAAGGCTAGAAGTCCGAGTTCAAAGTGCCAGGGTCTAGGGGCTAGGTAGAAGCCCCTCAACCTTGGGCTTAAGTTCTGCCTCCTACTCCCAGCCCATTGGAGCTAGAGGCTTTTCTTCACTCAGATAGCTGCTGGCTGCTGAGACTGACAAGCCCAAGGTCGACAAGTAAAAAGGCACAGTCCCGATGTTACCAAACCCACGTGGCAGGCCATTAAGTCAAGTCTATTGAAAGTCCCAAGGTCGGCAGAGCATGGCAGGCTGCTGAACAATGACACAACTACACGCAGGTTTCAAGCATGCCATAAGCTAGAGACCATTCCCAAAGCAGCTGCTTATATATGGGAAGCAGACTGCATCCCTAAAGCAGCTACTCAGCTGCTTGTGATAGATTCCACCATTGAGTGGACTGCCAGTCTCATCATGGGGAATAACTACCACCAACTGCCCAGTCACTCAACCAGGCCCAACTAAGTTTAACTACCACAATTCCACCCCTTGTCAACTTGGCACCTGTACAGATCTTCAGTGGGTGGCATCTGTACAGATCTCCTTCACTGGGTGGCTCCAGTCCTCTAGTTCCTGAGTGGCAACCTCACCCCCTTGGCCTGGTGGGCTCCATTTCTCTCCCTCTTGGTCATGGAAGCCTTGGCCCCTCACTCTTGGGCAGCGGCTATAACTCCATCCCACTAGCTCACACTCCACACTCCAGAACTGAGTTGGTGAAGGTTTGGCTCTTTGAAACCTAAGGGGCTGTGGTGGTTCCATCCCCAAAGGCTATGGTCCTACCCTTGAGGCTGAGGCAGCTCTGCTTCCTGTTTCCTTGGTCTCTCTGCTTCTGCCAATTAATGCCCAGGGCAACCCACTCTACCAGGAATCTTCCTGCCCAAAGGACACTCAGCTATCTTGCTCTGTGAGCTGGCCAACCTGCTACTTCATCTCATGCCGGTCTCTTCTACCAATTAATACTTGAAGGCAGCCCACTCCGCCAGGAAGCCACCTGGGCAATGGCATCCGCTTTCTCCTCCATGGGCTGGTAAGGCTGTCGCTGTCTCACAACAGTTCTCTCAGCTCTGCCCTTGCCATCTCTCATGCCGGTCTCTTGGCTCTGTTCCTGTTGTCTCTCATGCCGTATGCCAGGGTCTCTCTGCCACGGTCTCGGGTCAACGATGCATTCCACTCCTGTTTCCACATTTTAGGTATCTGTCAGAGCAGCACTAGGTAACCAGAACAGAATATGGTACCAGGAGTGGGGTGCATCCTTGACCTGAGACCCTGGCAGAGAGGTAACCAGAACAGAGATCCTGGATAGACTGGGAGAACAATGTGGAACAAAAATAAAAATCATTAAAGGAAAAAGAAAAAAGGTCCAGGTTTGCTAGTCTGATAGAGCCTGGTAGAACCACTGAGACTATGGCCCCTAGTGTCTTTCAGGTCTGGAATTGAACCCACTCCTGTGGCATATGAGCTGAACATTTACATTAGGTAGATACATTCCTGGGAGAGATCAATCATGGGAGAATAGAAGGGCTGTGTATGCACAGGAAAATTGCTCCATGAGGCAGGAGTACATGGGAGGGAAGGACACAGGAAAAAGGTTAACTATGAGGAGGAAGTGAGAGGAGAATTGTTACACTGTAGGAAATTGCAGTCAATGTCATGAGACAAAAGTATATGTGAGCTGCTGTATGGAAAATGAATTTGCTCTGTAAACTTTCACGCAAATCACAATAAACATTAAAAAAAGAAAAATGGAGATTAAGATCTATCTCACAGGTGGGTTTGAAGATTAAATGAAGCATTACGTGTAGTAAGTACAGGTCCTAAAGCAAAATATTTCTTCAATAAGTGGTACCTTATTATTATG